AACACGAAGCCCTCCGGAATGATGCCTATCAGGCACTAAGAACCGCCCAATTCCGAAACACAACAAAGGCTCAAAAGAAACGGAGAGTACATCATGCCATACCCCTGGGTGCCATGGTCATGGTACATGGGAACCTGTTTAATCCTGAAACTGGCAGAAGCAAGAAACTCCAACCCCGCTGGCGAGGTCCTTTCAAAGTGCTGGAATTCGACAGCAATACCGAGAACTACACCATCAAGCTGGAAGGACGGATGTACCGGCATGGCAAAGCAGTGGTTCATTCAACTACAGTTAAGAGATGGCACCCAAATGACGATAGCAGGTTCCCGGCACGCAGCCACTCCCGGCCAGCCCCGCGACTTATCCACAACCAGGAGGAATGGGAAGTGGAAGAGATACATGACCATAGGAAGCGTTATGGAACCGATCAGTTCCTGATCAAATGGAAAGGTTATCCAGACTCGGAGAATAGCTGGGAGCCAGTGGAAGGAATCGAGAATGCGATGACCCTTGTGCATGAGTGGTGGGAAGCCAACATGCCCGGAGAACGACTACCTCCCACCATCAACCATATAACGATAGCTTGGTCACCTACCTTACCCACCACACAACGGATACGCGAAGACCCTCCTACCAGACCGGATTTCTGGGCTCCCTATGATGCAAACGAGTTTGAAAGCAGCAGTGACGAAGACCAAGCAATGGCAGATGTTATAGACACCTTTATCTAATGGCACGCTCTCTATCCGAATACCTTAAAGATGGAAAACTATGAGGAACTGAATGTGAGGCTACGCCATCAGCTTGTGGGACTGTTGGTGGACCGCGGTGCTATCCTACTTGAAAACTACTTCGATACCCTTTTGGTTGATTACTGCCCGAATTGCGAAGACCTACTGGTGGAAGTATGGGAAAGAGCGGCAGGTATCCGCGATTACTGTGATTTTCATTTCCTTTATTCCAATTGTTTTTTGCAATTGCGGATATGTGTATTTTGTATTGGTGATAGGAATTGGGCGCTCGCTGATGAGGAATATGGCGAGGATTTTTATGAGGATTTTGATTTTCGAGATTATTGATTTGTTCAAGTAAACAGATGTTTTGTTTTGGGGAATGTAACCGGAACTGGAGTTCAGTCCGTTTGGTTCAAGGATTTGTTTTATGTTTTGTTTTACTTATGGTTTCGAGTATCCGTTGATAGTCAGTTTGTTTTACTTGTGGTTTCGAGTATCCGTTGATCCTCAGTTTGTTTTACTTGGGGTTTCGAGTATCCGTCGATACTCAGTTTGTTTTACTTGTGGTTTCGAGTATCCGTTGATACTCAGTTTGTTTTACTTGTGGTTTCGAGTATCTGTTGATACTCAGTTTGTTTTACTTGTGGTTTCGAGTATCCGTTGATACTCAGTTTGTTTTGTGGGTTGCTCACAGAGGATTTGGAAATCCATCCATGCAGGACATGGACGAAGCTTGTATTTAAAGACCGCTGAGTCCCTTAGAGGAACAGCAGACTTTGACGGACAGAGTATTTCTAATATACTTGGTTGAACGGTTACCTCTTCAAGTCCCTATTCTTTATATCTTCCTGTCGGAGCCTCCCTTAGCGCAGTACGCCCACCGGTTGCAGATCAACTTGTGCGCTACTCCTATTGTACCCGGAAGCGTGATTAGCACCCCGGTGCGAACACGTTACAATACTTTAAGAACCCAAGAATTATTTCTCCTCCCCTCATGAATGATTAAGTCCTAAGCCAGAACCAAAGAAGAGTAAGGAAATAGGTGCGATAGGATAGAAGTCAAAGGACTCGGACTTGACTATCTGCATCGTGTAGGCAGCAGCCTAAGAACTATTACCTTACTGGGAAGTAAGAATTGTTACCGGTTGCTCACCAGTGCCAGGTAAAATTCTTAATATGAGAGCGTATCCACAACGCGACACTTAACGATTACATCACGGATTCCCTCATCCAAGACTGCGATGGAGATTTGGTCCTACCGGACGACAGTATAAAACTAGGGGGATTCCACAAAGCATTAGGCGAAGCCAGTCAACATTTGGCCAGAACAGCAAGTCCAGTTATACCAGACCCGATTACACCCTCAAACGCAGAAGAAGCACCCCATACTTCAAGACTTGAAAGAATGTCAGGATCAGCACCACTGGCTGGTCCACTGCCAGTGGAACCAGCACCTTCAGGAATGATTCCACGAGAACAAGTAGAACAAATAATACGGGAAGCAATGAGAGGAGGAGGCGAACAGCTAAAAGTCAAAACACCTCCCTGATATGTACGCGAAAGAAGCAATCTGTAACTGGAACTGGAATTCAGTCCGTTCGGTTCCAGGATTTGTTTTATGTTTTGTTTTACTTGTGGTTTCGAGTATCTCTTGATACTCAGTTTGTTTTATTTATAGTTTTGAGTATCCTTTGATACTCAGTTTGTTTTACTTGTGGTTTTGAGTATCCCTCGATACTCAGTTTGTTTTACTTGTGGTTTTGAGTATCCTTTGATACTCAGTTTGTTTTACTTGTAGTTTTGAGTAAGGGATACTGGGGAAACTCACCCATGCAGGCCATGGACGAAATCTTGTATTTAAAGACTGCTGATTCCCTTAGAGGAACAGCAGACTTTGACGGACAGAGTATTTCTAAAATACTTGGTTGAACAGTTACCTCTTCAAGTCCCTATTCTTTATATCTTTCCCTCGGAGCCTCCCTTAGCGCAGTACGCCCATAGGTTGTAGATCAACTTGTGCGCTACTCCTATTGTACCCGGAAGCGTGACTAGCACCCTGGTGCGAACACGTTACATTCACAGCATTGGGTAAAGGAATAAGATTCTTGGTAGCACAAAGATCAGAAATACTGTTTTCCCTCGCTCGCTGTTTGGCTGTTCTAATAATATTTGAACAAGTACTTTTTATGACCCCTGTGATCTCTAATATTTCAGCTAATGTCATTTTTTGTAGCCCCTCTAGCATTGAATATCCTAGGACTTGACCTCTCTTGCTCAATGATGTTGTTGGACCATGTGGTACTAGCATTTTCGAATCGTATTAGAAGAAGAATACTGTGAGGTTCTACATCCGAGTCTACAATCATAAACGTCATATATTCTGAGTGACTGATTAAGATATCTATTTACTTCTCATTGGTTGCTGTCCTGACTATATGCTAATACATTTCTAGCACACTAATGCAGGGTCCCGTTGTGTTCACAAACGCCAGGACAGGACGAGTACAGTGCTCGTTGTGTCAGAGGGTTTTTTTTAAAAAGAACCGATATTGCATACGACCCACATCCAAGCAAAAGGACCAAGCTTTGGTGGTGTGCAATAGCAGTCCTTTTAAGAACGCTTCAAAATTTCGAGTACTCGTTTGCGTAACAGGATTGTCCATTATTGTAGTTGAAAATTCCGGGTGTAATTGTCTGATATTTCGCCATTCCCGATTTATCGCTATCGCTCTGATTGCGAGTATAGTGTGATACCTGCACTTTTGTGTCACTACAAGACCCTTCTTTCTATAGAGATTAGTTACCTTAGCAGTTGCTAGTTAGTGGCCGTGAATTAGTAGACAGCATAGAGCTTCTGGCGCTTGGGTAGGGGAGGCAGCTGGAAGATGGAACCTATTTTGGGCGATCGTACCATTGGGGGGTGAGCCGGATATATCTCATATAAAGAGCTCGAGATCAATTCTTGAACATTTCAGCAATCAATTGGGAAAAATGAGGCTCTACACGACATTCCTGTTCTCTTTTCTGTGCTTTTCATACATCTCTCACGCAGCGCCAATCGCGCAAGAAGAGGGCCAGGGAATCTCCACCTCTCCGGGTGATAGGAGACTAGTGACCTTCGCCGATGCAACATCCGCAAGCTTTAGTCTCTCCGAAAGCAGCGTGAGATGGATGTCTAGGGGGAATTCCTCCGACGGGACATACGTGGTGCAGGACCTCTCGGCGCAGGCTCTAATGCTGTGGGATATTGCCAAGAATGCTGGTAGCGTGTTCGTCGACGCGGCTGAGTTGGAAATAGCCTACTACAACTATTCCATCCAACCATCCGGGAAGCACGTCCTGTTTAGCTCGAATGCCGTAGAAGGATATCGTAACTCGTACACCGCAGATTACTATGTTTGGAGCGTGGAGGGTAAGACCCTGGTTCCCCTTGTCGAGGGACAGAGTGCAGATGTGCAGGGTGCGGTGTGGGCCCCCCATGGTGATGTAATTGCCTATGTCCGGGGGGGTGATTTGTTTATTTGGAAGGACGGGGTGAGTACTAGGGTTACCAATGATGGATGGGACAAGGTGTTTAATGGGGTGCCGGGTTGGATTTATGACGAGGGTTTGCAGTTCTTCCCCCTGAATCACTCTTGCGGGAAGCTGGGACTAATGGTTTACACCTGGGGTGGGGAATTAGATCTCCTCGGGAAACTGGATGCCTTATGGTTCTCACCGGATGGGCAGTATCTTGCTTTCCTGAAATTTAATGAGACGGAAGTATGCTTTACCTCCACACTCTACTAAACCCATGCGGGTTATTATTATAGTATGATACTAAGCTGGGTGAATCTAGGTACCAACATATACCGTGCCGTACTACACGGCAGGGCAACCGGTTGCCCCAAATTACCCTGTTGAGCTCCCTATAGGGTATTCTAAAGCGGGGGAGAAAATATCCACGGTTACCTTCCATCTACTCGAGGTCAACAACCCATCTGCCCCGAGGAAGATTGACTTTCAGACATATACTCCGGATAATTTAATTATCACCGAGGTTGCCTGGGTCGCGGAGAAACACGAGCGTGTCATCCTCCGCACGTAGAATAGGGTACAAGATACGGAAAAGTTGGTCTTGATGGAGGTTGAGAGCGGGAACGCACGGATTGTGAGGGAGAGGGATGGTACGGAAGGGTGGTTAGAGAATTATTTTGCTATTACTTGCGAGTCTTCCGTTCCGGGATGTTTAATGTCGGCTGGGGAGTTGCTAATTACTTTGGATAGATATCCCAGGACTTTCTACTCCTTCCTACGTGGATATCTCGGATCATTCTGGCTGGCGGCATATTTACCTTTACCCAGTGACCGGTGGTGAACCGATTGCATTGACATCTGGTAACTGTGAAGTCACTGCGATTTACTCAATCGACGTTAAGCGCGGTCTGATCCATTACCAATCCACGGAGCGTGATTCTACCGAACGCCACATCTTTACTGTGAGTCTCGATGGAAAGACCAAAAAGCCTCTGGTAGATATCACCAAGGAAGGGTATTACAGTGCCAGCTTCTCCCCCGGAGGAGGGTACTATATCCTGAGCTATAATGGACCAAACCTACCATGGCAACTACTTCGTAGCTTAGGCTCCGATACGCCCATTCGGGTGATAAACGACAACGCCTCCCTCAAGGGCAACCTCTCCGCATATTCTCTCCCCAAAATCTCTTGGTCGAAGCTCAAGCACCCAGATGGATATGAGCTGAACTTTTTGGAGCACCTACCGCCAAATTTTCGTAAGGGGAAGAAATACCCGGTACTATTTGATATATATGGTGGCCCAGGCTCGCAGCTCACCGGAAAAACTTTCCGCCGGACGGTTGACTTTAACGCCTACCTGGGATCGGATCCCGAGTTGGAGTACATCGTTGTCACCGTGGACAATCGCGGAACGGGGTATAAGGGGCGGAAGTTCCGTACCATGGTCGCCGGTCAGCTGGGGAAGCTTGAGTCGGAAGATCAAGTGTGGGCCGCTAAGGAGTACGGAAAACGAGACTATGTTGATGTAGGGAAGATTTCTATTTGGGGGTCGAGTTACGGTGGATACCTCACCGGCAAAGTTCTTGAATTGGATTCCGGAGCATTCTCTTTAGGCATTGTATGTCCTTTCCCCAATTCCTCTACTTCCTCCGCCCCCGACCTAGCCGCTAAAGCAGAATAGATGACGGCTCCAGTAACAGACTGGCGCTTCTATGATAGCATCTACACTGAGCGCTACATGAAATCGCCAACCGCAAACCGGGCTGGCTACAATGCCTCTGCGATATCCAAGACATCGGGGTTCAAGAATGTTGCGGGAGGCTTCCTCGTCCATCACAGGACCGCTGACGATAATGTGCATTTCCAGCACTCAGCTGTTCTTGTCGACACACTTGTTTACGAGGGCGTGAGTCCTGAGAAGATGCGAGTGCAATGGTTCACTGACTCGGATCATAACATTGTTTATAATGGGGCCTGGAGCTTTTTACAGAAGCAGTTGGCCAAAGCGCTTTACGATGAGAAGAGGAGGACACCCGAGGGCAAGCATCAATGGAGTCGCAGGAGGGTTGGGTGGGGGTCAATGTTATAGACCCTTGTTTTACAATAGCCCAAGTTAGGATCTCTTGTCAAGTGCAGTTAGGTAGTGCTGGTTATGTGGAGAGAATTGGCGGAGAGTGATTTTATTTTAATTGAATGCATTCTGCAGGTCACATATCATAATAATATTATGATATCATACTACAGGATTTTTTCCAAGATGTCGGAGGATGTAGGGTAACAAGGAAAATGAAGAAAAAAACACCTTACTAGGGGTTTATTTTATTGTGTCATATCGGAGTTTACAATAATATGGAAAACATTACCGTATTAACTTGAATAAGAGGTGTGTTATGTCATTGGAGTTACCCTCTCTAGTAAGGTCTGGCTTTTTTTGTTCTTTTGTCTCTCTCATTACGGTCTTTTCCGCCCCCTCCTAATGTTGGAAATTCTCGATTCCATAATTTAGCACACCGTTCTCCTATTCAAGCTAGTACGGTATGTGACAGTAGGAGGGGGAAAGAAATATCTAATATTATTATCATAATATGACATAAAGGAGTAGTGTGAAGGCCTTTTGTATGCCATACCGCGAGGTCCATGTACGTTTTTGAGCCAGAATCAATAAACATATGAATTAAAAAAAAAAAAAAAAAGGAGTAGTGTGATATTTATTGATCTAGGGTATCATGCCGGTACTTTGATTTACTGAAATAATTGAATCTCTCGTTAGGACGTACCAAATTCCCTCTCTCGGATGGGGGTGCCAAAATACAACGGAAACTGACCCAGATTGCGACTAAAAAAAAGTACTCCACCTTACCGGCAAGGGCAACTCCAATGCTCTCACTCGAGGTGCAATTATTCCAGTAGGTACTGTGCATTGATGATAAACATTGAAGTCAAAAAAATCCGATAAGATTTGTTTGAGAAAAAACTACTGCAGTATGATATGATAAAATTCTGTGGCTGCCGACCTCCTTTTCAGAAATAATAGTATTATATTCTAACTTATAAGACATATTCAGGGAATACGAGTGCTACCGATTGATATATTCTTCATGTGAACGATGATAACCAAAACGATGCCGTGCTATCGCTTATCGGCAACACCCGTACTATCACCTGGGTGGTCTGATAGCGTTAAATTCGCATCAGGGCACACTAACCCCGCGGGGGAACGATTTGAACACTACAATTGGATAAGAATACTCTAGCCGATCTCATCGCTGAGCCATTTGAGCGCTGGAAAGTGCGGGGGAAAAAAAAAAATCTTGTTTCCTACTGCGAGTAGCTAGCTGCTACCTAGTCTGGCCTTAACGTGTCAAGATACGAATTTGACTATTTCGCACAGCTCACGGGACAATATTATTATTTTATCACTATCACTTTCACCGGGACTCTCCGAACGGGGTCTCAGTTAGCGGAGGACAAGGCCATTTTAGCTGTGAGCGTCGCAAGCGTCGCTTGGGTGGGATGCTGTGACGAATGAAGCTGGAAAGAACACTCACGGGCAACCATCCAATGGAGACAAAACAGAGCCCACCAAGCGCCGTAGTGTTCAGACGGAGAACACAAATAGAAGAACGCTAGGCGATTAACGAATGGAGAAACAAACAAAGTCCTAGTCCACCACTACCAGTCAACTAGTGTCACTCACACTTACCGCTTTATACATATTACGAATCCCGTTCCTTCTCGCACTGCCGTCTCATCATTTTCTGCATAGCTGTGATTGGGTCGCCGGCTTTGGGTACGTGCGGTGACTGGGGTATCAACGTCAAGTATTACTGCTGGATTGCCTATCAGGCACTTGGTTACGCGGTGTGCGGTTATAACGTATGTGGTTTTGTGATGTACGGTGAGTAAGCATAGTGTAGTAGTTTTATCTAGTGCGGGGTATGGATTTTCGGTTTTGTGGGTACCCTTTGCTATGGGGCATCGGGTATGTGAGATCTCTGTCCCTTTCACACCCTATACCATCAGGTATGCAGTATCATAGTTGGCTTAAGGTGTTATTGGGGATCGTAGGATATTTGGGGAGTTTCTAGATTGTGGGAGGATCTTGGAAAATCATTATTTGTCAGGATGGTGTCTTTCATTAAAGCTTGTGGAGTTTCATTGGTTTTCCGCAGTTGTTAGCAGTTTGGAGATATATATTCCCAGGTACGTCATTAACTAGCATCTCCATCGGTCTCCTGGTTCATCTCCCTTGCATGCCCCTCGTCACCCCGAACCTATCTTTGTTACACTTTCACTGCTTAATCCTTTGGTGTTTTTCTTTAGGTTTCATCAACCAGGGTATCATAATTTTGCGGGTAGTGTTTGATGAGCGGTTCTGCAGTAAATTTTGTCGCCGCCTTATCTTGGTCCGTGAGCAGGAGTTGAGGTTTCCTGGCAAGGGAGACCTTCTGTGTGAACTGATATGGCTACTGTCGAGAGAGGAACTTGGGTTTTTTTTTACCACGTGTACGGCTGTTGGTTCTTATGCCAAACCGAAAAACTAAACAAAAGAAAGGAACTATCAGAAACCCGAGGTTGGTAATATGAAAACCTCGAATGAAAGGAAGGACTCGAAAAGAGCTCGGAGGAGAACAGAACATAGGAGAACCTAGGGAGGACAGTGGATGATGAGAGGAAAGTAATACCATAGTTGAATAAGGCTTGGTTGTGAAGTCGCGAGACAAACGGAGAAGAGAGGAAGAAAATCTCAAAAGGCGGACTAGATACTGTAGAAACTAGTCTGTTTGGCGGATGCGTACTAAATCCAACATTCTCGGCGAGTGACTTTTGATGAATGGGAACTAAATTATTTTTATTTCTCTGTTTGTGGTGGAGGTGCGTTACTATACACCAATGCCCGGTGCGAGGGATGGTAAAGTAGAAGGGGGAGGGGTTGATACACCGCACCTAAGGCAATCGGGAATTTACTTATACACAACTTGTCTAGTAAATAAATTTATTAGTCTGGACTAGTGAATATCATCGCCCCCCACCTCCAGAATAAAGGGAGAGGAGGAAAGCGAGAGAAGCGTAACGAGAAGTTCTCTATTTCCGGGATATAGCGTGGCACGGAACGGCTGAAAGGCTGTCTTGTTAGCCTTCCTGATTATCAGGCATGCTGTGCCCTGACGCGGCTGATAATATCTCGTTGGATTGCGCTGGCAATTGAAGTGATGCGTCTTAACCGGCAATGGTGTTGCAGTACTTGTTCCCACCCCCATTCATACGATACACCATCGCTGCTTTATCCCAGTTTCCTGGGCGGGGGTTGGAATCCCTTGTCTGCTGGTAAGGAGGGGGAGGGAGGTTTCTGTCGCAAGTGATCTTTTATGAATGGGGAGTGGGGGGGCAGGCTTGTGGTTGACAGTTTTTTTTTCCCGTCCTTTCTGACCGGTGGTGAGGTGTCTTTCTGATTAGAACCTTTTTGTGCAAATATGATAGAAGAGGAAAGGAAGGTTCATGGATGGGTTAGGTTGTTATTTGCCACCAGACCATTGACAGTTGAGGATCCAATTATACAACCCTGGCGCGGTAAATACTAGTTAGGATCGGTGAATGTTAATAGCCCTCATCTACCACTAGAAGAGAAGAAGAGGGGAGAGGGAAGATGCGAAATCGGAAGTTGTCCCGTCTAGGTATGTGGTAGGAAAGAGCTGAAGGACGGCCTAATTTAGTCACCTGTATTCTAGAGCTGTGTGTTCATCGTGGTCACGCTTTACGCACTTTATTAGAGTTCTCCCGAGCGAGGTTTGCGAAGCGGATGGTTGGGTCGGGGATTGGTGGGGGTTGACTAGAAGCACTGTTTCGTATTGGGTCTTGGTGCGAATCAAACTCGGTAGGTTAATCTATGGGATGACGGCTCGCCATGCTCACGGGATCGGCTGCCGGTCGTTGCGAGTTGCATGAAGCCAGGTGGACACCGTAAGTGCAATGCACCATACCAAACGCTTACACTCAGAACCTACCACCCACGAGTGGTCGGGGTGGTGGTCGTCGCCCTGACAAGGAATGCTAAGATGGAAAGTACTGCCAAGACAGGGCCTGGCCTGTGGTGTGTGTGGCGGTGAAGCAAAAGTCCCGCCGAGAAATGCCAAGCATGCGGTTGTGGGCTCAGCCTGAGCAGCGGGAAATTTTCCAGACCGAGCCCTGAGACAGGATGTGGGGGTATCCCGAAGACAAGTCTAGGCTAAACCTGACTAAGATTCAACCCACGGCCAGATCATGGCAGTGTTGAAGTGAAGGAAGGTGTGCTAAAATAGTACTCGGTAGCTGTCATGATTACAGTAGCCCACGTCTTGGCGTCCCTTTGCTTACGCTACCACTGGTACTATACTCGTAGTATCGGAGTAATTTTTTTAAATGAATTGAACATTTTATACCACCCAGACCCAAGCAAGAGGACCGAGCTTTGGTAGTACTCAATAGCAGTCCTTATGAGAACGTTGCGACCTTACGAGTACTCGTGTGTGTAGTATGGCTATCCACTACCGCAACCAAGAATCCTAAGTGTAATCATTTGATATGTCGACTCTCCCGATTTATTCCTTTCCGGCCAGATTGTGAGTATGGTATAGTGCGTGCACTTTCGTCTCACTACTAGATCCCTTTTTCTGTAGGATCAGTTTAGCAGTTGCTGATTGGTGATCGATAATTGGTAGGCACCGTGCAGTGCAGCGCAAGGCACTTGGCATTTGCGGAATAAACAGCTTGAGGATGGAACCGATTTCGGGAGTCTGGGCGATTGGCGATTGCTCTGGATATATATATGGAAGGCTCAGGATCAATTCTTAAGCATTTCACCTAATAATTGGGACAAAAAATGAGGCCCTACACTACATTCCTGTTCTCCCTTCTGCTCTTTTCATACATCTCTCACGCAGCCCCGGTACCGCAGGAAGAGGATGAACAAGACCTCACCTCTGCCGGTGCTGAAAAACTAACAACGCTCGCCGATGCATTGTCCGGGGACTTTAGCACTTCGGAAAGCAGCGTACGATGGATTTCGGCGGGGAATTACTCTGACGGGACATATGTGGCACAGGACCTCCCGACGCAGACCCTAATTCTGTGGGATATCGCCAAGAATGCTAGTAGCGTGTTCGTCGATGCCGCCGAGTTGGGCATAGACTACTATAACTATTCCATCCAGGCCTCCGGAAAGCACGTCCTGTTTAGCACCAACTACTCAAAGAAATACCGTCACTCGTATCTCGCCGATTACTATGTTTGGAGCGTGGAGGGTAAGACCTTGATTCCCCTTGTCGAGAGACAGAATGGAGATGTGCAGTATGCAGTGTGGAGTCCTCATGGCGATGTGATCGCCTATGTCTGGGGGAATGATTTGTTTATTTGGAAGGACGGGGTGAGTGCTAGGGTTACCAATGATGGGGGAGAGAATGTGCTTAATGGGGTGCCTGCCTGGGTTTATGAAGAGGGTGTGTAGTTCTTCCCCCCAAATAATTCTTGCGGGAGGATGGAATTAACGATTTACCATTCTTTTTGTTTTCCTTGGTGGGGAGTTAGAGATCTTCGGGGCGATGCACACATTGTGGTTTTCACCGGATGGGGAGTATCTTGCTTTCTTGAAGTTTAATGAGACGGAAGTGCGCTTTACATTCATGTTTTCTATTAAACCCAATGGGGTTGATACTAAGCTAGGTGAATATAGGTACCAACATATACCGTGCCATACTACATAGCTGGGCAACAGGTTGCCCCACCTTACCCCGTTGAGCTCCGTATCAAGTATCCTAAAACAGGAGAGAAAAACCCCACGGTTACCTTTCATCTTCTTGAGGTTAACAAGCCGTCTGCCCTGAGAAAGATTAACGTTCAGGCTTACACTCCGGATAACTTGATCATTTCCGAGGTTGCCTGGGTGGCAGAGAAGCATGAGAGTGTCATCATCCGCGCGGAGCAGGGTACAAGATATGGAAAAGTTGGTTTTGGTTGATGTTGAGAGCGGTAATGCACGGGTTGTGAGGGAGAGGGATGGTACGGATGGGTGGTTGGAGAATTATCTTGCTATCACTTGTGAGTTTTCCTTACGGGGGTCTCTAGTGTCAGCTAAGGAGCTACTAATACTCTTGGTTAGATGTCCCAGGGCTTTCTACTCCTTCCTATTTGGATATCTCAGATCATTCTGGCTGGCCACACATTTACCTTTACCCAGTATCAGGTGGCGAGCCGGTTGCCTTGACATCTGGCAACTGGGAAGTCACTACGGTCTACTCAGTCGATTCTAGGCGCGGTCTAGTCCATTACCAATCCACAGAGCGTGATTCTACCGAACGCCACATCTTTACTGTGAGTCTCGATGGAAAGACCAAAAAGCCTCTCGTAGATATCACCAAGGAAGGATATTACGGCGCCAGCTTCTCCCCCGGAGGAGGGTACCACACCCTGAGCTATAGCGGACCAAACTTGCCATGGCAAGTACTTCGCCGCATAGGCTCCGATATGCCCATCCGGGTGATAGACCACAACGCCCCCCTTGAGGCCAACCTTTCCGCATATTCTCTCCCCAAGATCGTCTGGTCGAAGCTCAAGCACCCGGATGGATATGAGCTCAACGTTTTGGAGCGTCTACCGCCAAATTTCACTAAGGGGAAGAAATATCCGGTACTATTTGATATATATGGTGGCCCGGGCTCGCAACGCACAGAAAAGACCTTTCGCCGGACGGTTGACTTCAGCACATACTTGGGATCGGATCCCGAGTTGGAGTACATCGTTGTCACGGTGGACAATCGTGGAACGGGGTATAAGGGGCGGAAATTCCGTACTATGGTCGTCGGTCAGCTGGGAAAGCTGGAGGCGGAAGATCAAGTTTGGGCCGCTAAGGAGTACGGAAAACGAGACTATGTTGATCCCGGGAAGATTTCTATTTGGGGGTGGAGCTACGGCGGATACCTCACTGGTAAAGTTCTTGAATTGGATTCCGGAGCGTTCTCTTCAGGCATTGTATGTCCCTCCATCACTTCTCCTACCCCCACTCCAGGCCTGCCGCTAAAACAGAATAGATGACCGCCCCATCGAGTGACTGGCGCTTCTATGATAGCATCTACACCGAACGCTACATGAAATCCCCAACCGCCAATAGGGCAGGCTACAATGCCTCCGCCATAGCAAAGACATCGGGATTCAAGAACGTTGCGGGAGGCTTCCTCATCCAGCATGGGACCGCTGACGACAATGTGCATTTCCAGAACCCGGCCGTTCTTGTCGGCACGCTGGTTTCCGAGGGCGTGGGTCCCGAGAAGATGCGAGTGCAATGGTTCACTGACTCGGATCATAACATTAATTATAATGGGGCCTCGAGCTTTTTATACAAGCAGTTAGCCAAAGCGCTTTATGATGAGAAGAGGAGGACACCTGAGGGTAAGCATCAGTGGAGTCGCAGGAAGGTTTAGGGGGCATCAACTTTATAGACCCCTGTTTTTTAAAAAAAAGAGAGCCGAATTAGGGTGAGGCATAGCTAGCATCTCTTGTCTAGTAATTTTAAGTAGTGCGGGCCTGTCGGAAGGCGAATTGGCCTAATAGAAGACGGGAGTAGCCCGACTTGTAATAGAGGCTTTGTTATTGAGGAGCGAGAACATTTTAGCTGCAAGCGTCGAGGCGTCATTCAAGCGGGCGAAAGTGACAAAAGAGCATTAAAGAACACCCACCGAAAGCCATCCAATTGAGATAAGATAAAACAATACAAATGTCAAGTATCTTGCCCGCGTAGAGAGCACAAACAGAAGAAGAAAAATAATCATCAAACGGAGAAAAGTCAAAGCCCTAGTCCACTCCTCCAAATTACCTGGTATCGGTCACACCGGCCACTTTATATACATAGCACCGATTCCGCGCCTTCTCGGTAAGAAAATTCTACCGTACAAAGTACCAGTAATCTACCTGATACTGACTTAGAGTATGATACATCCCCACAAGAAGTACATCCCTGTCCACAATGTTCCTCGCCGAAAGGGAGGTGCTGGAGCAGAGTCTTGGCGGAAACGGAAATACCGTCACACCCCACAACAGGATGGCGAAAATTTTGTGGATTTCATCCGGGACAACAAGGTATTCGGAACGACGGGGAGAGGGGTTCATGCTATCTGAAGAGGAATAAACATGAATTGGGATAATTGAGTATCACAGGAAACTTTATCTTGATCATTATACATGCGCAGTATCACCACAATCGGCGGCCAAGCTTGCAGCTACCATGTAGATTATCACGTAGCACGCTCTTTCGCTGACCTACTCGAGTACGTCACTCCAATTACTATGATTTGAGTATCGGTAGTAGGGATAAAGAATTCTACTCGAGTACTCTGCCTCCAAGCCCCGGTTCAACTATGAGCCTGCAATGCCTCTCCTGTTTTGCTTTCCTACTTTATATTTGGCCCGTTCTTTTTTCCTCTTTTGGTCTAGATTTTCTAACTGTGATCATAGCATCCAGTTTAGCAGGTTGATTTTCTATAGAAGCAGGGGGTAGGATTTCCCAAAATCTCATACGAATCCGAAAGCACCCTTTTCCGGTTCAACGTGGCTATTTCTGTGAGGAACCGGAGGAGCAAAACATTCCATCAGTTCAACGGGATCCGTGATAGCAGGGTGCAGCTGGACCATTCGCCTTTTCGAAACTTTGCAATCGCCGGCCGCCCTGAAACGAACGAGTGATAGTCTGCGAAACACTGAAACGCCAAGCGCTTACTCACAACACAAAAGCGGGGAACTTGAAAACTCTTCACCTCTCCAAACACACTCCCATTCACACACCACTCACACTCACTCTATCGCACGCTCTACTAACTAACTAACGGTAGGGACAGGAGTATATATCAACCACAAGCGACAAACGATAAACCACGAACAGCAAACCGCAAACCAGGTCCTCCGGTCCCCAGGTAGGTTCTCCTACTCACTAGCAGGCAAACACAAACTAACAAAAAAAGGAAAGACAAACTTCATCACCCATAGCCTCCGGATATCGCTCTCCGTTCTTCCATATTCTTCCGCGCCTTCTGGTCCTCCTCACGACCTTTCTGCCCTCCCTGCGGCCTTCCCCCATTCCTTCGCTGAGACTCCCGTACTAACAAAAGAACAGACATACATCCACACCGATAGCCTCCACCAATAGCCTCCACGCTTCCGGTAAGTCTCTCTCTATTCTTTTCCCTCTCACAATCAAACTACTGACAAAAGAAAGAACAAACTCGCGGGCTTCTCTCAAGTCTTCCTTCGTTCCTTCCGCCGACGCTTTCCTCCTGCACCTTCCTCCCGCACCTTCCTTCCGATCCTCTGCATGCTCCCATCGCCGAAGCGCTTTCCCAGAAAGCCAGAGTGCGCTCCCAAAAAAAACTAACAGAAAGGAAAGTAACTAGCGCGCAAAGAGACAAACCGCCCCAGGAGCGAACGAGCGAACGAACGAGCAACGGGAAGAGGGAAGGAGGGAAGAAGGGAGCAGGAGGCGGGGTAGTGGGGGTAGGAGAAAGTGCGAGCATGCCGAGCAGCATCTCGCCATTTCCAACATCACCTATTCACTGGGATAAGCGAACATAGTCGGGATTCTGGGGTGAGGGTCTTATGCACAGATAGGGGCCCATCTCGATGTATATCTCGGAGCCCTCAGAGGTTCCAGAGTATTGTGCAGTCAACTGTTTGTGTGAGGAATCGATACTGGTGACTTGGCACCGTTGATGGATATTACTGGGA